ATTTTTAAAAAATTTAAAAAAAAAAGATCAATCAGTAAACTCAGCAAGTGGAGAGAGAGGGAGAAATCACTTCAGTGCTTAGTGATTACAGCACTGTCAGGCGTGAGGGGATCAAGGCTCTTGGCTGTTAGATGCATTTAACTTCCACAAACCCTTCCTATGGTGAGAATCGTTCTCCAAAGCCTAACAGAAACATCTCCAGCTGTGGTGAACCTCCCAGACCCCATCCAGTTGTACAGTGTGCCCCCACCCACTCCACTAGCCAGGAACACAGGCTGTGTGCCCGACACAGGTCATTCAAGGTCATCCATCACCATGCCGAGGCAGGGTTCACTGAGACCAGCAGAGTTGCCTGACATGAATGGGATGGAACAGAGTGCCCACACAGCTTTCTCTAAGTACCTATCTTTTTGGGGTGCCCTCCAAGACCACTAGCCCAGCAGAGCAGGATTGGTAACGTCAGTACTGCTAAGGCCCACAAATCATGCACTGCTGTAGAAGTAACCCCTAATAAACTCATCTACTGGCCAAGCTGGACTTGTCCAAAAAGCTTTTTGGTCTAGAGGCCCCTTCTCAGTTCAGAGGCAGATTTTTTTTTTTGTCTCCCTAGGAAATTTATGCAACATCCTTTAAACCTGCAGTAAATCCCAACCAGTGTAACAGGTTCCTTTTCAGTCCATCCAGTGTCTCAGTACACATTTCTCCAGACAACAGTAACCCAGAGTCACCAACTTGGTAGCAAAGTGGTCCCACTGTGTTAATCATCTCTGATTGGGTGCAACCTCATGCCACAGCACATGGCTTGATGAGTAGGCTATGGGAAATATTTCAGATACATATCCAAAGGAAGCAGAGAAGTCATGCACCTGAAAGGGAGCTACACTTAGAAACGACAAAGATTGAAGGAAAAGGAGGAGAATCGACTAAAGCGCTCAAGAAAAAAAGAGGATGGTCAAAGAAAACTTGGAAATAATACAAAATGGTAAGTCCATCAGAGAACGGTCACATGGATAGCATGTGCAGTTAGTTGCTCAGGTGGGAAAAACAAGTGAGAGAGCAAAGTTCAGTGTTCTAGATAGAATATTATGCTCATACTTCACAGAACTAAGCTCATGGGAATCTCACAGCGGTACTGGGCTCTCCTTGCCTCTAAATTCATCTGCACTCCTTTCTTGGGGAGATATTAAATTGTCCCTTTCACTCACCTGTAAGAACTGGTTTAGATCTTGACATCCTAGAGTCAACCTGGGGCAGTGCAGACAGTCTAGCGAAACGAATCCAGGGCTACTAGGCCATTCCCATGACTTACACAGATGATTTCTAAGTCGCACAGGGTCACACCCAATTCTGGGGAGGCTTCCAAGAGTCCCAAGGGAGGTTCTCACAGAGTTTAGCACCACTGTTTCCTCTGTCAATAGGGGTGTAATTGTCACTGTGTATTAAATGTAATTATCACTATGTCAAACGTAATTTATTTGATTTGTCCAAATATCCTTATTGATTTATGGCTTTCTTTAACCTTCCTGGAACCAATGATGACAGGTAATTCAACAGGGCTTAGTCACAAGAAGGGATGTGGGACAGAAGCACAGTTTTGATCTAGAAAGACAGCCCAGAAACACTGTGGGCTCATCTTGGGGGTTAGTGAGTCTCTGACACAACAACTTTTTACATTGGATGAAAAATGGGTACACCAAGATAAGAAGCCTTTTTCCTGTGGAGGAAAAAGGGGATAGTCCCAAGTGGGGTCCACCATTTTGTTTTCAAGAGCCCCGATGGGCTGAGGGTTGCGTGGAAGAGTCTGGGTGCCTCCTGGGTACACTGTCAGGGAGCCGCAGAGTACTGGTGTGGTGGATCATCAACTGATGGTCAACTTGTTACACCCAGCTGAACTGAACTAGCATGGTGCTGGGTGTGGGAGACCACCAATCCTCAGGCAGCAGCATAAGAGGCAGAACTGGAGGACAGGGAGAGGCTGCTAGGGAAGCTGCTTGGAGAAGCTGTGGGAGAGCCATTGGAAGCTGCTGGTTCTTCTGGGTTGTTCTGCTGGGGCAATTTGTTGTGCTGGTGTCCTGGTGAACTTAGCTGTTCTGGTTGGAGGAGGACCTTGGGGCCTCACAGTCATCAAGGATGGCTGCGGTTCATTTTCAGGGAGCTTTGGTTCTCATTTTAAGCACTGATTGTTTCCTGGCTCTGGAAGGGAAGATGGTGCACTGCTCAGCCTCCTGAGAAGCTTGCCACGTTGACTTTCTTAATGGGAACTCAGCTTTCCTTACCAATGGAGGAGCTGGGGATGTCATTGTTGCTGAGGATGGCTGTGGTATTATGGGGGGAGCTCTGTTTCTTACCTTGAGCATTGCTTCTTGGCTCCAGTTCAGATCCCTCAGGGTGGTAGCACAGATCCTTCATCCTGCTAGCACAGACTTTTTAGCTTGCACTGACCTTGGGCCTTCCCAGTGCAGATAGATAAAACAAGCCTACACACAACATTGTCATGCGCTCTAGGCCTCTGGTTGAACTTGAGGGAGGCATTGTTATGATCAGGGTTTCAGCTGGACTCACACAGAATATTAGGATGCAGGTTTTCAGCTGGTGTCTTTGGCCTTTAGTGTGTGGACAGATTTCCTGCACTCCTTGTACATGGTTGTTTGGATGATTCATTATTAGTAATCTTATAAAATATGTGTCCTGTATTGTATTGCTCACCTTGGATCATCCCAAGCCAAGACACCTGGGAGTGCACCAGGCTCACGTTCCTGGTTGAAGCCATCCTGACATTTGCCTGAGTGCTGCTGTACCCAGCAGGGGTGCCAGGATTTCTGGAGCCCACATCTCTCCTCTGTTTCATCTGTTCTCTCACCCTGTGTCATTTCCCTCTCCCTCCCTCTCTGCCTGTTTGTCTCTTTCCTTCCTACATTCACTTATTCTTCTACTTAGTTTCTCTGTGTAAGCAGAAATGAGTGGTGAGCAACAGTTTCATGGTACCAACCCTCCTCCTTGCTTTCCAGAAAACTGTGTCACAGATAAATATGATGGGAATCATGAAGGTGGCACAGGAAGTGCCTGGGTGCTTGAGGCCTCCTCTCTCCTGAATCCTGCTCCCCAGCTCCTTTTCCCTCTGTCCTTCTTGTCACCACATGAACATATTTGTTCTCTGTCCTTGACCCCTAAAACTTCTTTTTCTTTTTTTCTTTCTCTTCTCTCCCCCTCCCTCCCCACCCACACCCTCCCCTGGCTTCTTCTCTCCTTTCCATCCTTCCATTCCTGCACCTCCCCCTGAGCCCCACTAACACCCATTTCTCAACTCAACACACCCTTCCCTACTTCCCTGCACACTCTTATCCCAGTAGTCAAGTTCCTGCTTGCACATTCAGCTGTGCCCTAGGTGTGCAAGCACTTGATCCTTGTCACTCGAGGAATGGCACTTGTCACTGCCCTCACTGCCAGACAATGCAGAGGCACACGCAGTTAGAGGAATCGGCCTTCCTGGGAGCCAGACTCACCTGCACCCAGCATGGGCAGGAATCTTACTCTGAATTTTAAATGAAGGGGTTTAGAATCAGACACAGAATTGCTTTCTGCGTATATTTCCTAACCTTGCAGTTCAGACAGGTATCTGTAATTACTATTATCTGCATTGACCTCATTTGCCTTTACAGAACAGCCTGAAGTTGAAGGACAGGAATTGTGCTCAAAGGCACGCACACAGGGGCTGTCACACAGGATTGGGTCTGGGCCGGCAGCAGAGCCCCCACCAGGTCACAACCTTAATCACAGACTTTGCCACCTTTCACCTGCACCCCGGCCATACATAAGTTCAAGGACAGGGCCATGCCTAGATGTTCCTGAACCTCGGGGCCTCACTCTGCAACTTTCAGAATGCTGATATGGGGTGTCTGTCTGTGTGTGTGTGTGTGTGTGTGTGTGTGTGTGTGTGTGTGTGTACAAGCTCCCATATAACCGTTCCTGTCCCACTGCTCCCTTGCCCACACTGTCTCCTCCTATTTGCACTCCCACCCACCGAATTATCAGTCCCTCTCTCCCAAAAAAAGGCATGAAGACCACACATAGATGAGCAACTGGGCGAGAATGTGGCCTCTCCTTGGTCGCCTCGCCACCCACATGCCCACACACAAGAGCCCAGGCGCACATCTGCCCCACACATCAATGTGCTGCACTCACTCAGCCGCTGCACAGCCACCTCCAGGTGGGACAGCCTGTCCATCACGGTCCTGTCCCTTGTGTGTAGAGGCCGATGGGGATCCTTCTGAAGACCACCCTGAATCAAGTTCTGCACAATCTCCTTAGCGTGAAACAGCAAGAGGAGATTGGCAGCGAGGACCAGCATCAGCCCAAGGCAGAGGACCTGGGGGAGGTTTCTCCTGAGCATCTCTGCCTGCGGCTCCTCCACACGTGAGTGCCCACCGCCCTGCTAGCTGAGGTTCTCTGCTGGCTGCCTACTGCTGAGCCAGATGTTCTCTGGCCAGGAAAGCTGGGGGAGGAGCTGCCAAGCTTCTCCCTGAGCAATGCCAGGTGCATGGAGAGTGCCAGGGACGCTCCCAGAGGTGGGTGGGTCAGCTGAGCACACCTTGCCCTGCCTCAGAGGCCAGGGAAATGCCCAGCAGCCTGGGTGCCAGTGATCTCCCTTTCTCCCTGGAGACTGATAGGACATGTGAGGTCTGATTATGTGGGAGTCAGAAGAAGAGAGAAGCCCACAGAGCATCTGTGATGGGTGCTTGTGGGGAAGGCAGTAGCTAGGGATCCTTCTGCCCAACTCTCCAGGGTCACAAGACAGCGGTGCTCAGCACTGAGTGCTCAGCTAGTGTTAGGGACACCTTCCCTGCAGGTTCCACACCTCACTGCCTGCACACATGGAGCCTGTGGTGCCTCGCCTCTCTGGTTCCTGTTTCCACATGTTCTGTGTACAGGATGGGCTCTGGGGCTCTCCCTGACTTGGCTTCCATGAACCTCTCTGCCTCCACCTACTCCATTTACCTTGTCTTGAATAAATCACTTAATTACCATCATGATATATCAAAGAAAATCGTTCTCCAGGAGCAGAGTTCAAAATTCAGTCTGCTGTTGGGCATCCCTTCCTCCTGTGGGCATAGCTGCTGTGCTCACCGGGCCCAGGCAGTAAGCACTGAGGCACAGTGGGCGTCAGACATTCAGCTCCCAAGAGGGGCCTGAGAATGAAAAAGAACAAAAGGGAAAGTAAACAGCCATTTTTGCATCAATTAGCAATAATCGTGCCTCTGGCAAACCTCTTTGACTAAGATACCGCCAGTGTGCAAAGTTTGTTTCTGCATCAGTAGAAAGTCTTTCCCAGGCTCTGACTTGCAAATTTGGAATCTGGGCATTCATGATTCTGGGGTGAGCTGTCTCCATTTTTCTCTTCTAAACCAGGCAACAGAAAACCCTGGACATTGCACACTGTTGTGGTTTGGGGGTTTTGCAAAGGGAACAATACAATATAGGACACATGTTAAAAGAGTTTATAATGAATCACCTGAAGAATCATATACAATGAGTTCAGGAAATCTGTCCACACTCTAAAGAGAAAGCAGCTTGCAACATCTCCAGCAGCTTCTCCAAACAGCATTCCTGACAGCCTCTCTACAGCTTCTCCAACCCTGCCTTTTATTCTGCTGGCCACAATGCTCAGGAGGCCTCCCACACCCAGCAGCACCTTAGTTCAGTTCAGGGCGTAACAAGTCAATCACCAGCTAGTGATCCACGACACATATGGAAGAAAAGAGGAGATTCCAAAAAACAGAGAAAAAATGAAGGCTACTGGCTAGAGGTCTTCAGACCCAAGGAAGAACATAGATGTGAATTGTATAGGTTTTCTCTTGCCCTAATATTCTCAAAATTTTAAAATCATAGAAAAGCCACTAAAGCAGAATGAAGAGGACAAAAGGAGAAAAATCAGTGAACTTGAAGATAGATAAATATATCCAATTTGAACAATGAAGAGAAAATTGACTGAGAAATAACAACAGAACCTCAGAGGTCAATGAGATTATAACAAAAAATTTAATATTCACCTCACTGGAACCTCAGATAAGGAAACCAGAGTGTGGGACTGAGCAAGAATCTTAACAATAAAGGCTTGAGCCTGGGCAGATAGCTCAGCAACACTGTGACTGCCTGGTAAACACAGGGTCCCAAGTTCCATTCATGGTACAAAAAAATACATAAAGCTAAAACTAGTAAAGCTGAAATTTATCTAAAATTGGCAAGAGATATAAACCTAAAGACTTAAGGAGCTGAATGAAACAATCACAAAGAATGAAGCAAACACAAAGAAATCCTTTCCCAGAGCATCATCCTCATTCTTCTGAACATCAGACAGAAAATCCTTGTAAGTAACAGAAGAGCAATGACACAATTCCAGTGAGAATTCTCACTGGAAATCACAAAGCCAAAAGGAAGCAGAGCAAGCTTTTCAAGTATTGAAATAAACACTCCCCAGTCTTACATCCAACAAAAATATTCTTCAGGAACGAGGGGGAATCAAGACATGCTTAGACAAGGAACCTCAGAGATTCATGACCAGCAGGCGTACTTCGGAAAGGGGCTGAGACAATGTCTCAAAGTGTCACCATGTAGCTCAGGTGACCTTGAACACACTATATAGCCAAAATTGGCCTTGAACTTGAAGCAATCCCAGCATGCTGGGATTAAACATGTGCACCACCATGCCCAGCCCACCAGCATATTCATCTTAAAGGAAGACATAAAAAAATGTTCTAAATGAAGAAATGACAGAAAGAATTTAGGAAATCAGGGGAAAAAAAAGATCAAACAACAAGAGTTAAAATAAGATAAATGGAAAAGGATTTCCTTTCCCCTCCTGAGGTTGGTAAATTTGACAGATGAAGCAAAAAATCAGAACACTGCCTCATGGGCTTCTCAAAGTATGTGTAAGAGAGATTTAAGAGAATCGTATATGGGAATGGGCAGAGGCATTTAAAACAAAGTAAGGTTCCCACAGGTCCCTGGAACTGGTAACTAGTATAACCAGTAGTCCACACTGGCATGGTCATCAGGAGTCTTGATTGCCTGAATCTACCGGTGATAAAATAACAGAAACACGTGCTCAGAGCATGGATGTCAGTTTTCTGGTTGTGTACTTTTGGGCTCGCTTAGCCACTTTTCTCATCCTTGTACAAAACACCTGACACCCAACACTAAAGGAGAAGAAGTTTCCGTCCACAGTTGGCTGGCTCCAAAGAGGCCACGGCAGAAGAGCACAGCAGAGAGCTGCTCACTACCCAGGTTTCAGAAAGCAAAGTCCAGAGAGGAATGGAGGGAGATGCATCCTTTGGCAACACAACCCCAGGGACCTGCCCCTCAGACAGTCTCCACCTTCCAACTTTCTGTTCAGTTATCAACAGGAACCTATCAACGAATCAAGCCAAGGATTACCACGCCTCTAAGATTTAGTCACTTCCCCAAAACCCCACCTATGAATCCATGAAGCTTTGGGGGAACATCTGGATATAAAACATGCTAGTATTACTTTTGTAAACCCCCTTTTTAAAAATTACATTTTTTAAAAGCATGATATTGTCTCATACAAACCGACCAAAGAACTTACAAATGCCTTACTACAAAAAGTTAAGCCTGATGGTACACACCTATAATTCTACACCTTGGGAGGCTGAGATAGTAGAATCATGAGTTTGAGACCAGCCTGGACTACATACATATATATTAATTTAAACTAAAATTAAAATGCACACCAAAAAAATGGTTACCTCCCAAAGTGGTGGAGATCAAAGAACTGAGGGAGAAAGGTCATAACTTTTCATTGTACAATTTTTTATATTTTTAAAATTGTGTATTATGTTATATGAATTGTCTATCAAAAATAATTTGAAAAAAATAATTTGATAAAAATTGTATCATATTCTGTATCACCTTATTGTGGTCTGGAATAAGACAGAAGACACAAGCAAATTAGAGAGACTAGTGAGCTCTGTCTTCTGTAGTCCTTGCCCCTGTGCTTCTGGTCCATCAAAGTGATGGGACTCCCTGGGAAAGGGGACACAGGAGTGTCCTTCTGGAAGTACATCTTCTCCTGCAGCTAATCCCTGCTCAGGAGTCAGGGATATCATCCTCCAATATTCAGTTCATAAAAATCCCCTAAATGGCTTGGCAAAAATGCAGACTTCCAGGTTCTAGGTTTTCATTCTGTCAATCTATTAAGAGTCTTAAGCATCTTAACTTTAACAAATATTTCATCTGAGTCATCTACATTTCTGCCTGTTGATGCTCATGAATTTATGTGGTGGGGGGAACCACACACTGATTGCAGAACAGATTTATGCCCCTGTCCTGATACCTAGGAGCAAAGTGTCACCAAAGGCTGTGACCAAACACTCTACCTGAGCATGTAGCACCTTGAAAAAGTCCCAGTCCCTCCAGTAAGAAGAGCCCACAAGCGAATTCAGAGGAACAGGAAAGTACACATCTTTTTAATGAAAGACGAGCCCTTCAGGAGAATCAGAACAGAGATATACAAGTGGCAGAGAGCCAGAAGGACAAGGATGGATGCTGGGAGTAAGAGAAAGTTTGTCCAAACAGCTGAACTAACTGAGGTACTGGAAATAAGAAATACTGAACACTTCACTAAAGAGGGAACTTCAGTGTTGCTGGAACGAGACATAAATATTTATTGAAGCTTAAAAATGCACTGTTACTTACAGTTTATTTCCTGTAGGAAAGAGAAAAAGATCTTTATGCAGTTTGAACACAGAGGAAATCATCTTCATAAGTAATAAAACTTTGTAAAGTGCCTCCTTGTCTGTGTGCTTGTTGAATGGGCTCCTTTTCTCCAGGGACTTTTTGCACTCTCGGGGCTAATTTCTAAAACTATGGCACAGAATTGATATTTACAGATACCATTAAGAAGTGGGTATTAGATTGTGATAGAGAACTTTGCCTCCTTTTAATAAACATTGGATGTTAGCAGTCTGTAGATATGAAAATAGCATATTATCACTTGTCAAATTGTTGAAATTAATTTGAAGTCAAAGACTCAATTAGCCAGTTTTGATCCATGAGTAGTAATTTAGTGTAACCTGCATTCTGAATTCATTTTTTATCATTTTCATACCTCTTTTGATTTCCTATCTCTTTAACCAAGTGTAGAATACAATCATCAATCATTCATTTTTTTTTTATGTATTTAGGAGAGGGTCCTCAGGGTCTCACTACATACATCAGACTCGTAGTGATCCTCCTGCTTTCAGCCACCCCAGCACTGAGATTACAGGCGCGCGCCGCCACGCCCAGTCTCAGCCGCTGTCTCCGCCCGGCGGGTGGCCGCGCACGCCGGCCGCTGTGCTCTTGTATGAGCAGGTGCCTTAGTCTGCTGAGCTA